CCCTCCCCGCCGTCTCCTCTGTCTCCCCTCCCAGCCCCCGCCCCGCCTCAGCCCGCCGAGTCCTCCCGGGCTCTGTGAGGAACTGTTCCTGGAGGAGCCGCGGGACGCCGAAAGTAGCCAATGGGAAGCGGCGAGACGCGGAGATTGGCACCGAGGATGGGAAGGTCGGTGGGAAGGAGAGCGACGGGGCCTGGCTGTCAATCAAAGTAACGTGGGGCCGGCCGGGGAGCGCGCGTGTGCGCGCGGGCGGGAGAGAGAGGCGAGCGTGCAGCCGCGGAGGCCGGGGCTGGAGTTTGCAAAAAACCCAGCCACTTGTTCGCTTTTTCCTTTAATGAAAAATTTTAAGGTCTCCGTGAAAGTAACTTAGAGACTCACCGCGTGTTTTCTTATTGGGGGAGGGGGCGCGCTGTTTGGTAATTCGTGCAAAACTCGTGTTTCGGTGCTGACCCCTCGTTTGATGCTACTCTTTTAAAAAGTGAGGTCACGTTCAAAAATGTTTCTGAGGTTTGTCTTCCGTGAGCTGCCTTTTCACGGATGCACTAGAAGGAGCGGAGCGTGCACTTAGTGGAAAATGCATAAATGGGCCGCGCATGGGCTGGCGTGGGGACACCGGCCGCCTTAGACTGGCTTGTGCCCGGCCAGCGCACTCGCCCTCTGCACCCGACGTGGTAGCGTTTGGTGTTGACTGGAGAATATCAAACCACTTTGGGGAAAGGTCGGCCTGCCTTGGTTTGGCGGGAAGGATCCCCAAGGTGCCGCCGGAATAAGGCACGCGTGTCTCGGGCGCAGGTGAGATGCTTTGCCCGCGGCGCGAAGTCCCGGATCCTGATCCTAGAAGTCCTGACTTCGTCGTGTTGGGGAACGACGGGGGAGCCTCTCAGCAACATGACGACGAATCTGTTTCCAATTCCTGGGGACAAGGAGAGACAATGCAATAAACCAGCGTTGAGACCTGAAAAGCTGTCCCGCCCCCGCACCCCCCATCGTTTGGGTGGCACCCCGGGCTGAGCTGTGTAAGGAGCCAAATGGCAAGAGTGGGGTAAATGACATGACGAGGGTTCTGAGGAGGTGGCACTTGAGTTAGAAGGGATCTGAGATTTTAAGTAGACGAGACATGCTGTATACTTAATATTGAGAGTCTCCAGTTTTCGTCTATTTCTCTAGATAGACCACACGGCACAGAAACTTTCAGTATTGCCGCGTTCATATTTCTGTTTAAGGAACAGTTCCCTGGAGCTATTTTCACATGAGCAGTGAGTGAATAATGCTGTTTTAGCGAACTGGTGACTCCTTCCATGAGAAAGACACATCTTGGACAAACATTCATCTTATGTTGAAACCCAGTTAACAAGTTTTGGGTATTAATAACCCCCACGATCCCATTATTTTACCTTCCAGAAACTTAAGGGAAGGAGTTTATTTAAATAGGCATACATTTTATTCAAAGATTTGCTTTTACAGAGGTCTTTTCCTTGAAATTAAAATAATCACTTTAGATAACATATTTTACTGTTGGAGTTGTTTTTAAAAATGTATGATATTGATTTGTCTATAATTGCATCAATCCCGAATGTCAATTATAAATGAAAAATAAAAGAGCAATTTTAGCCAGTCTGTGTAGGCCATAGTAAATTCTTAAACAGGTTGGGCATTGTAGCTTTGCAGTGTCCCCATTAAGTGGAGTCGGGAAGGGGGTTATACCATTCATTTTGCTAACATGGAGAAAGGAAAGGACGTAAGCATTGCCTTTCTTTCCTTGGTTAAATCTGGTGATGAGGACAGCAGCCTTGCTCCACATACAGGACTTTTTAAAATTATAAGATCCTTGGGCAACTGAGCTTTGTCCTCTGGCTACCTATGTTCCCTGAAATCATCATCTGGCAACTGAGCCACATATGCCAATCTGTGTCAGTTCATCCCAAAGTCAGCTCCAGGACTGTGGAGAAAGTGCTTGGATGCCACAAGTATGCTTGTGTATACACTGGGACAACTGGGGCAGTGGAGACTTCTTACCCAAGCCTACCTGGCACCTCCACCTTGAGTAACTGGCACACGCAGGTAATTAAGTTTAAACAAAAACTAAAACTGTGTTTTGGGACAGGAGCAAAAGCATTGCTGCCTCTCTTCCTTCCTCACTCCACCTTCTTCAAAACCAGTTCTAACACTGTCTTCAAATGTTCTCTAATATAATTTCACAGAAAATGTGTTTCGCTTACCGTATTTCCCAGTTGGCCATGAGTAAAAACTGGAAATACTCTTTTAACTAGTCCTTCCTTACCAGTACAGTTTGAAACATCAGGCCTTCTGATTTCGCTGTAATGTAGTATGGGAGAAATGAAAGAGCTTAATGATGTTAAAATTGGAAGGCCTTTATTTGTGTGCATAAAGATGGTTTTTGAAGGC